TGTGTGTGTGTGTGTGTGTGTGTGTGTGTGTGTGTCTCAGGTTAGTCTGCAGTAATGTGCTGACTCTTCTCAGCAGTGTTCTGGATGAGACAGCTCTGTAATGATGTGAATCAGCGAGGTAGCCGGCCTGACTCACGCCCAACAAACGGAGGAAGAAAAGGAAACTATCWGTGAGCTCTTCTGCTGCAGGTAAAGAGGTTCAGATGACTCCATCCTGAAGTGTTGCTCATCTAATCATCACTACCTGCTGCAGATTTTTACTTTAAGACCACCGCTCCAGACTAATTTAATCTTACGCTGATGACACCGTGTTGTGTCTCTCTGAGAGGATAAAAGACTGGATTCAAGCAGAAGATCAACACGGTTCTTCTTCTGCCCTTCTTAGCGTGGCGGCGCAGCCAAGCTGAGTGAGATTGAGACAAATGGTGTCATTTGCACTTCAATAATCATCCATAATCCCTCTCTGAAGCTCTGAGCTGGAATCTGAAGAGCAGCATCAGAGGAACAGAGCGGCCCAGACTGAAGGAGGGAATTATGGAGGCAAAGGGATGCATACTCCTCATGTTTGAATGAAAGTGTGTGTGTGTGTGTGTGTGTGTGTGTGTTTAGGAGCGAAATGACCGTAGCTGTTGAGCTCATAGTGTTAGAGGTGAACAGCACCTGCAGTCCTGCCTCCCCTGCCCCCAGTCCCTCCTGCGTCTGCCTCTCTCTCTAGCGGAGCCACAGTTTGAGTCGCAGCGCGTCCACTCCGTTCAGGTAGTATCTGAACAGCCGCTTGTCTCTGACAAAACCCAAGTTCTCGTACAGCTTCAGGGCCGATTTGTTGGTGATCTCAGTCTCCAGGACAACCTGACGAGGGGGGACGACACAAACAGGTGAAAATGAGCAGACTTGAGTTTAAACCAAACTAACAAAAATGCCAACATTAATGGGAATTTACCTGCATTTTTTTCCTGTTTAGTCACAACAGACCGGCTATGTATAAAAATTGAAGGTAAACTCAGTGCTGGTTTGCCTGATGAAGGTCTAACAACCGAAACATCATAACAACATATTTCTGCAACCTAGAACCGTGTGCAGGAGTGTCTTTTTAATCAGATGCATATAATTCTAGTCGGGTATGCAAAATGATCTWTATTTTAATATAATCAATACATCAAAAACACTTCATTTCCATCAAATGGGGAGGAAGACGGTGATGATCTTGATGAAAACAAGGAAGACGAGCAAATTCGCCAAGAACTGAGCTGAGAGGCAAAACTCTGTGTGGGCTCCAGAGAGACGCGAGCTGTGAGTAAATAAGCATTAGAGACGAGGAAAAAACAATGTCGATCGTAGGGCTGAGCRATATGGCCTAAAATCAATATGACGATATATTGACCAGTTCACCTCGATAACGATAAATGCACAATAACTCTTACCAACTCCCACCACATACAAGTACATGGTATAGTATAGTCATAACACTATAACACACTGTGTCCATGTTCTTAGTCAAAGTTCACTGTTTAGATTTTGAACAGCTTTTCTGTAGTTTATATTTGTCATTTTAGTGTTTTTAATATATTTAAAGGAGACCAATTATGGGTCCTAGAAATGTTTATGGTATGTCTGTGGGCTATCCAGACCATGTTCATTCAATTTAATGCACAAAATAATTCTCAGATAA